CATGAACGCCATGTCAGTGAACATCCTCAACGGGGAGAGGTTGGACACCGCCGACCCCTACGTGCCATTTCCCCGTGCGTCTGAGCGTGCACGCGGATGTGGGCGACGGCGGGGTGCCGCACCGGGCCGATCTGGACCGGCGTGGGCTTTTGGTGGTACTCGGCATCGTGGTCGCTGATGAAAGGCCGGGAGGTCAAACATTTCCAGCCACTTGGCTGAGGAAGAGTTTTAATGAGGGTTGTAAAGGCCGGGACGGTCATGTAAAACAACCACTCTTTCTCTTCATCCAAAATTGTTTTGTGTGTTGTGTTTTGTTAGCTGGGCATGTGGCAAATCGCACAGCCAGTTCCACCAACATACATACAATGTTTCTGCTCCCGTATTCACTTATACTGGGACGAGGACGCCCCTCTCCCTGAGGGGGACGAATGTTACGCGCACCAGCCTGATGTGGGAGACGTCCTACTAATGGCCCTTGGTGTGGGGACGCCCTGCCCAAGGCACGTACTATTCCTCACCCACTGTAACCTTTATCCATATTAGGATACGGGAGTAGGAGGGGTGGTCCCGCCTAGGTGCCCTGTAAGGACCTAGGTGCCCGGCGAGGCGGGTCCGCGGCTCAAAGAGGGCAGGAACCCCACACCCACATCCTATTCGTAACAGGACCTCTGCCATTGCAATCACAGTGCGCGGTGTGTGATTCCCTCAGCTCCAACTGCCTCCTCGCTAGGCTAAGGCGCGCAATGCAGGTAGAGATGTGGCTTTCCACCGTCGTGTTCATGGCGTCCAGCACCTGCCCGTCCTCGTTGCCTGCATTTTTGGTTTGATCCTATGTCCCCAGGTGCGTCCACTGCAGGGCGCCGTTGGTGCATGTGCTGATCATCCAGGACAGCAAATCAATATTGAGAATTGCCTTTTGTTGTGATTGTGCCACACAGCGGCTCTGGAGGCACGCGATGGCTCTTAACAATAGCCATCAGCTTGGCTATCGTTGCGTGGAGTGTAGTTGCCACAACATACGCCCAACCGCCAAGTGCCAACGGGCCCAAGGGTGGCATAGGGACAAGCCGGGTGTTTCAATGGTTGGGCAAGAGGAATTGTCGGGAAGGGAGCAACGACTCCCCATCGAATGGGGACTCCTTGGTGGGGAGGGGGGCCACCTATTATTGCATAGCGGGAGCAAACTCACGCGGTGGTGCTGTGCAGCCCTCGGCGCACCGACAGTGGCAAAGGATATAGCAAAGAATGTGATGAGCAAATCGACAGTGAATGGAAAACATGAACAATGCAACAATGCAGCCCAGCCCGGCTAGCGAGTCAATTGCTTTGAATAAATAGCATAGGAACGAAAAAGTGCAGAACGTCTGGGCCGAAGGCCCAACTTTTGGACTGGTCTAATATTATAAGCTAGGAACGTGGCTAAGAGCGCCCACAAAACGAATTTTTGCCCCAGAAATGCATTTTTTAAAGTTTGACTCAGCGTTCTTGTGTAAGAATCGACCCCTATGACATAGGGGTTACATGAGTGGCGGGGGCTCTCCGAGTCGGATGGTGTGGGCATATGCATTCCTGGGTGGCGCTGGTGGCTGTGCTCGAGGGTGACCAACGGCAGGCACGCGGCTACCGGTGCTGTGGCTGTGGCGTGCCGTGCATGCTTGTGCTCAACGCGCACGTTTCCCATCGCGATTCCGCATCATCGCAGTGGCAATAGAGACCATCGCCATAGCCGATCGTCGCAATGGTGATGGCCCGCACCCAAACGCGCGGCTCAGCATTACCGTTCCCGCAAGGGCTCTAGTCGGGCAACGGAGGTACTCCAGGGCCTTCCAGCACTTTTCTGTGGTTGGCATTGGTGCAGCGACTGCGGCACCGGATGCAATCAGTGCGCCCCTCAAGGCCAAGCGTTCGGGTCTCTGGGCCCTGGAGTACAGGTTTGGAAAGCGGAGAGCAGGTGTGCGGCTCCCACCCGGGTCGGGTTGCACAATTGAGCGCGAGCACGGGGTGGGCCATGGACCTCCACCATTGCGATCACATCGCGCGGTATGTGTCAATCACGCGCTCTGAGTGTCGAAAGCGCTTTTGGGTCGATTAAGGGCCATGGGGCTATGGCGATGGCTTGCGAATCACGCCCGTGGCGATGGCAAGCGATGGCGATGGTGGTGGGCAATCCCAGTAGAAGCCTCGCCAAAGCCAGCACCAGTTCTCGAGGCACGGAGTTGTGCGCTGTGATAGTGGGACACGATTCCCCATCGTCACGCTAGCGCTGATGGCCATCGCCAGCGCTGATGGCTGCAGCGGCGATGGCTCGGGTCCCAAAACTTAACGGTCAAAGTTGGGAGGGAATGTCGCAGTCGGGAAGGGTGTAGCAAGTGCCCCATCCAAGGGGGGATTCCTTGGGAAAGGCAAGGCCAACAATCCAGCGATGCATGCTGGCAATGGTTGAGAATTCAATTGCTGAAAACGGTAGGATGGCGGGCGGCTCCGTGGAATTTTCGGGGTACGCTCAAGGGCTGTCGATGGGAGGGGCGCGGCTACCGCTGTCATGGCTGCGGTGCTTGGTGCCCACTTACGCTCGACGCCCATCTTCCGATGCAATGCTGCATCATTGCGGCGGCCAGGGCCGATGGCCGCAGCGGCGATGGTTCTGGTCCCAAAACTCAATGGTCGAGGTTGCAGCCCCCGACAAGGATTCCCCGTGCAACATAGCAGATGTAAACTCATGCAGCGGTGCTGTGCAGCCCTCGGCATAGCGACAGTGGCAAAGAACATAGCAAAGAACATGATAAGCAAACAAGGTCGGAGCCTTGCACATTGCACGTATGGTGCTCCTATGGGGTAACCCGGCCCAGTGACTGGTGATGGACATTTGCAGTTTGTGGGGTGAAAGAAGCAATTGTCAAGCAAGGTTGCATACAAACTCATGCAAAATCTATAGAGCATATATGTCCCCTGGGTATTGTGATTTATTACAATAAGAATCGTGTTGTGATGCGTGCATTGTGTGATGCATATGACGAGATTTTATGTCACTCTGCCACATGCCATGGGTGCCACTAAGCTAAGCACGATGTGTCGATTTCGAGGTCAATTTTTCAAAGCATGACAAACTGAGTTGCATGCTTTGCCCCATGTTCACAACATTCCTTGTACCATACATTCATTCCATGTTGCCGTTGTATTGTACGCCATAAGGCTGGACATAAAAACACGTTGTGCACATGAGTTCCTCTGCTTAACTAGGCGGCATGGCATTGTGCATTCAGCCAGACTACCCACAAGTCCCTATGAGGCCCGTGAGGAACCACAGGTATATATTGTGCCGGTGCCAAAGTAGAAATGGTCTTGAGGCCTTGAAAGGGAGCTGAGTGAGAACAAGTTGAAAATGAGTTCAATATGTTCACCAACGATGAAACACAATCACCACAATGCAATGTTTTTAAGATCAAGTCAAGCACACCAATGAGTGCACGAATCGGTGAACTAATCAGCGTAGAAACTTGTGCACCAATTGTGTGGAGTGGCTGAGTGTGCGATCAAATCTGGCGATTTGCAAAATTTGCATCTGGCCCATCTGCCCACTTTGGGGATCGAGTCGATCCTCGCATGCCGAATGGCCGGGCGGCCTCTGAGGGTAGCGTGCCAGCCTTTGGTAGGCAAGGATCGCCTCGGTTCCCAAGGTGGGCCATGGGCCGGCGGTTTTTGGCACCCCCCTTGCCCTCAGCTTCCAACCCGCCCTTCCCGCCCTGCCATGTTCTATTGAGCGGTTGCGAGTGGCCACTCTCATGCGCCAGGTTGCTCCATAGGATCGCCATCATGCCCAGCAGAATGCCATGGTGACCGCAATTCCAAGCAAACCGCCTTGCCCATAGATGGGCTCCCACAACTTTTGGCACAATGGAATGGGAATCGTATTTGTTCTTTTTCAGTTCCCGTTCCATTTCCGTTCCGTTCCCAACCCGTTCCGGCCCGTTCCAACCCCATTTTTGCCCGCTCCAAACCCATTCCGGTTGGGATTGTCACGTGGCGGGGCGTTGTGACTCCTGTCGACCTTTGGGCGGCTCGAGTGCGCAATGATCCTTTGGGCTGTGGCGACCCCGTGGGTACGGGAGGCGTTCACAATGGTCACGTAAGGGAAAGACAAGTCTATCACTCACGACCCGAACCCATTCTTACGGATGGAGTGAGTGTTATTTATAGCTTGAGGATGTGATGGAATTCCACAGGGAATTAAAAACATGAACAACGCAACAGCGCAGCCCAGCCCAGCCTGGCCAGCGAGTCAGTGGCTTTGAATAGATAGCATAGGAACGAAAAAGTGCAGAACGTCGGGGCCGAAGGCTGAGTGCTCATGCCCCCACGTGCTGGCAGCGGCGCAATTAAGCGGCACAGGGCCCCCACGTTTCCAGGCGCGACCCACCCTCTCCCCCTCCTGCCGTAAAGAGGGGCGAAGAAGGCGCCCCCGGCAGTGGCCGGGCTTGCCGATGGCTCGCCGCGGCGCGTGGCAGCTGCAGAAACTGGCAATCTGTTACTGCGAGCTGTCGGGGAGTTCGCGAGGGGCGAGGTGAGCCCCCACACCGCCCGCACCGCAACCTTGTCCGCGTCTCGAACCCGATCCCAGCGCACGCGCCAGGGCATCAATTCCGAGCACCGCAGGGCTGCGGCCCCGGCCCCGGCGGTGGCGCGGTGCATCCCCCCCGGGTCGGCGAGGCAGAGTCCGGTGGGAGGGGGCTGAGGAGGTTGCCGGGAGGCACAGGGTCTGGGTGGGGGTGGGGGGACCATGCAGGCTCGGGTGAAGGTTTACAAGCTGGACCGCGAGGGCTCCTGGAGCGAGAAGGGCACCGGCTACGCGTCCGTGGAGTTCCTGAGCCAGTGCGAGGCGCCAGGCCTGGTGGTGGTGTCTGAGGAGGGCGATGGCAAGCCGCTGATGGTGCACCGGATCCGGCGGGACTTGCCTTACCACAGGGCAGGGGAGGACACGATCATCTCCTGGCAGGACCCCGAGTTCGGCACGGAGGTGGCGCTGAGCTTCCAGGAGGCCGTGGGATGCGACAGCATCTGGAGCGAGCTGGGCGCCCTGCACTCGGAGGCCCTGGGGCCGGGCGGGAACCGCAGGCGCGGCTGCGTGGATGAGTTCGAGAGCGTGACGTCAGCCAGCGGGGAAGAGGCCGGGGCGGGCAGCGCGCCGGAGCTGCCGCCGCCGAGCTCGGCCAATTTGGAGGAGCTGGCGCGGGTGGTGGCCGATGCGGGCCCGCACCAGCGGGAGGCCCTCGCGGCGCAGCTGCTGCAGGGCGGCTACGTGCCCAAGGTGCTGGAGCTGTTCGAGGCGTGCGAGGAGCGCGAGGACCGGTCGGCGCTGGTGCTCATACACCGGGTGGTGCGGGGGATGATAATGCTCACCGACGCGGCGCTGCTGGAGGAGCTGCTGAAGGAACAGCACGTGATCCCGGTCGTGGGGGCGCTGGAGTACGACCCCGACGTGCCCGTGCACGTCAGGCACAGGGAGTTCCTGAGGGACAAGGCGGTGTTCAAAGAAGTGGTGGCCGTGATGGACGAGGCAGTGAAGGCTAAGATTCACCAGACCTACAGGATACAGTACCTCAAGGACGTCATCCTGCCCCGTGTGTTGGACGACCAGGCCTTCGCGACGATGATGTCCCTGGTGGTTCTGAACAACATGGACGTTGTGTGTGAACTTGGGCGGGACGAGGCGTTCCTGCCAGAGCTTTTCAGGAAGCTGCGGGACGGAGCCACTGGTGACCCTCACTGGGCCGACCTGGTGGCTTTCCTGCAGGAGTTCTGTAGCCTGCTGCGCCACCTGCAGCCCACCCTGCGGCAGCAACTGTACGCAAAGCTGGTGGACTTGGGGCTGTATGAAGTGCTAACGCGCGTGATGGCTGGATGTAAGACGGACATGCGGCTCAAGGCAGCAGATATTCTTTCATCTGCAGTGCAGCAGGATGGGCAGTCGCTGCGGATGTTCCTAGTGGATGGTCCTGACCACGAGCTGTTCTACCTGCTTGTGAGGGAGCTGACTGAGGGGGGGGACTGTGGGCTATCCGAGCAGATAATGGATGTGGTCAGGGCCCTGCTGGACCCTGAGACAATGGACCAGGGCGCCTCCGACAGGAAGATCATTGACATCTTTTATGAGAAGCACATGCCTTCACTGGTGGCGGCGCTGAGTGGCGATGGCTCAGAGCACAAGGGATGTGCAGGGGCCGCGAACCGGGGCATGATTTTGGAGCTGCTGCGCTTTTGTGTGCAGCGCCACACATACAGCATCAAATACTTCATTTTGCGGAATAATGTGCTGGACAAGGTGTTGACATTGCTGAGGGTGCATGAAAAGTGGCTGGTGGTCGCTGCTCTTCGGTTTGTGAGGACGTGTGTGGCAGAGAAGGACGACTTCTACAACCGGTACTTGATCCGAAACAATCTGTTTGAACCTGTGGTGGACCTTTTCTTGGCGAATGGTGAGAGGTACAACTTGTTGAACTCCACAGTACTCGAGCTGATGGAGTTCATTCGAAAAGAGAACATCAAGACCCTGATTGTCCACATCGTAGAGAAGTTCCACCACAGGCTGCAGACAGTGACGTACGTAGACACGTTTGCACTCCTGAAGCAAAAGTATGACCAGTCGATGGAGGCGAGTGGTGGTGGCTTTGCTGAAGGGTATGCCACGACGCTGAGGCCAGCAGGTGCCACCAGACGAGATGCGAGGGAAATGGAGCGGGATGAAGAAGACTATTTTCGCGATGCTGGAGAGGACGAAGATGCTGAGCAGGCCACAGATGTGGCGATGATATCAGCTGTATCCACAAGTGGCGCTGCGGGGGATGAACCACAGGGTGGGACATGTGATGTGAGGTTGGTCCCATATGAGGAGGATGAGGAAGAAGAAAGCGAAAAGGGCAGGGTGGTGCAGGACAAGGGCAAGTTGCAGGAGTGTCAGAGTTTAGGCAGTGCACAGGGCGGCAAAAGGCTGCTTGATAGCTCACCTCCCAGGGAGAGCGTCAAGAGGACCAGGACCAGCTGACCCTGTAGTGAGAACAAAAACATGGGGAGGTTGGGTAGGAATTGGACAATTGGATTCACCAAAGGCAATTGGGTGACATTGTTGCAAGAAAAGTGAATGTGCATGAGCATGAGCAGCAGTTCTGGCTCCTTGCAGGTGGTAGTGTTACTGCACGCCTGGAATGACATCAGTATGTAGCCTGTGGGCCTATGGTTGTGACCCTCAATCTGGACTGTAAAGACGATTTAGGTTGGGAATGTGTCCTTGTATATCTGGTCAATCTTGACACCAGCATGAACACATGGGTATTCTTGACTTTAGAGCAGTCTTGGTATTTGGTCTGAAGTCATGTGTGGGTGGTCATGTTGGTTGCCCCCGTTGCCTGGTTGCTTCGCCAATGGCCCTGTCCGTGCTTGTGCTCTGCCAGCCCATGGCGTTGACTTTTGTGAGGATACCAGCAGGCACCTGCGTTCATTGATCGATGTTGATTGGAGATCAGACATAAGCCTCTCCTCCCATATTTCCTGGTCTGGGTGTACAGTGCAGGCAAGGGTGGTATGACAATTTGATGGGGGATAGAAATGCGCTAGATCGGCGGATGAAATTCATCGCCTTGCAATGTCCACGACTGCGCCCTTGTAGGCCTGCTAGACTATGTCAGCTCACCTTTTCAGCTCGCTCTTTGCTGTGACAGGAACTGTCTTTGGATAGCAAAGCAAATTGAAAACTGGTCAGCTATAGATAGGGCTTGTTGAGGCTGTGTACTGTGTTGCTTGCAGTTGGACATGCCCATGCACAGGTTTCCCAGCAACTGCATGCTTTGCTTAGTGCTTTGTTTGCCATCTCTTGCTGCTGGCAGGGAGTATGTCAAAAAGATGCTGCCCCAGTTTCAGGCGGCCAACACGCACTTGGATGTGGAGGCTGTCCAGCAACGTGGCCGACACCCCTACCTCCTCGCGAAATACTGTGAGTTCCCATCGCCAAGGCAACTCTCACAGCCAGCACTCATGATACTCTCCACTCCCTGGATTGACTGTTTGTGATTTTGACTGCTTCGCTGGCAGTCTCACCTGCCTGGTTGCATGCCATTGTGTTTGCACAAAGCAACCATTGCATTGTCTTACATAGCACAGGAAACAGTGCAAATGTTGTGCTTGCAGGCAAGTGCCCACTGCACAGCATTTTGCTTGCTTGCCTCCCTAGAGTTAATGGCCTTTCTATCCAGCGGGCACTGCTTTTGAGAATTGCCAATCGACCTCGCTCCCCAACTGCGCATGACTGAGATCCCCTTCTGCTTGACAGGATCCTCTTCCTGCACGACCTGTACTCTGGTCAAAGTAGTTGCACTGTTCCATCCTTAGTGCTTGTCGCCATCTGCATCAGTACACAGTCCATTGCTGTAATCGTAGTGTGGCTGTGGTTTGTGACCAAAGTACTTAATGGAGTGATTCATACTTCACCTGGTCCAAATTCGAACTCAGATTACAAGGGATGGGCAGTGGCGACCAAAACAAGATGGTTGGCAGTCGTTGAGCCCTCCTTAAGAATGAGGCTATTCACCGAAGCAGCGAATCCCTGCAAAGGCTACTGGTTGAAACCAAGCCTTTGCTCACGTTGAAAGTGTTCCTGGGGTGCATGGATTCCTTGGCCCACTACCAAACAAGGTGGACGAACGGTCCAGACTTCCAAGGGGCTGGCTGCTGAAAGCAGGTTTGTGCTTCTGGTGCCTCGAAGGATACCTGGTGCATCGACAGCACCACCCACGTCTTCCCAGCCAGAAACTCAATGACTGTGATATTCCTAATGTTGACAACAATAGCGGAGACATGAGGTGCAGTGGCCCCCTTGCCCCTGGCTGAAATACGATATTGTTCTCCCCACAGAGGATGACGTAGATGTCGCTGACCGGAAGGCGTGCGCAAGTGATGGTAGCTTGGTTTATGTCGGCAGTAAACGCCTTGCGGCAGCTCCCTGGTGCGTCTGGTAGAATCAGTGTCGGGTGTCGTACTATGCTGTACTCCCAAACGCCGCGATACCCGCGAACAGCAGGTTCGCTCACACCCCGTCACGTGAGCGGTTCTGAAGTGTACCGCACTGCTGTAGTAGTTAGTCACCAGAGCGGTTGGTGGCAGCGTGCATCACAGCGCTTTGTTCGCTGACGCCGTGGGGGGTGGTGTCAGTGAACGGCAACTCCCGCCTGGTGGACCTGAAGAACAAGGGCGCGGAGGACGTTCGGTTGCATGTGGACACGCTGAGGAGTTCCGCGGGACGGCGCACGTCCGTCCCCATCCCTCGCCACACGACACGCAACCCCAGCATCCAGGGGACTTGGACGGCGGGGGCTGCACAGGCGATGGCGCCTCCGTGAGCAGGGGGCGACTGGTGCGGACTAGAGGGGCATTGTATGCTGCCAACCGTCGCACGGCGTCGGCGAAGGAGTCGATTCGGCCCCAGTCTCTGAGGTCGCGACAGGGACTGTGTGGCTTATTGCAAATGGTCGCCTATGGAGCGACAAGGGTTGCTGCCGGGAGCGGACGTGCGTGGGAGTCCTACCCAAGGTCGGGGAGAGGGGTGGTGTGGTTGGGTTCCTGGCGCGTTGTGTGGGGGAATAGGGCCCAAGTTGTTGGCCCTATTCCGTCCAATGCTACGGTGTGACTGGGACCTTCCGCGCATTTTGGAAGGGCAGCAAGTTTGTCAACCCCGCGTTTGCTGCAGCATGCTATCGGGTGAGTAGCATTAATTTCTGGTTTCAGGGTTCACGTTTGGCTTTCTCTGTGCCGTTGGTGCATTGTGGTGTCGAAAACTCGTTTGCAGGTTGGCACATTGTGGACCAACCAGCCCGACGACCGCGTGCTGACTCAGAATGATTTCACCACGTGTTTTCAAATACAGTAGGGGTCCCTATATAGCGGGCCCCAACCGCGCCCCCTTTTGGGCCTGTCACCATTTCTGTAGTACTTATGCAGCTTCGCTGCTGTTAATCGTCGATAAGTCGATGGGTTCCTCGCAACGCGCAACGGGAGTGGGGAGGTCACGCCAAATCTCCCATGCTCTCGCCCGTTGTGGCAAGAGCAGGTCTTTCTTACATGCCAGAATCCAGAACCTCAATCGTTGGTTCGAGAACCGCCAGCATAGGTGGGAGCCCCCCATGTTCATATTGCTCCCCCTTTTCCCTTCATGACTCCCCAATCCCACTGATTACTTCAACCGTAACACTGCGCAGTGGGACCTCAAACTAATATTGTGGACACCCAAGAGAGGTGTCCGGTGGACGGACGCCGCGGCGGCCGATCGTTTCCGTGAACTTGGCATATCGCGGACGGGCGGACGGCACGTCTGGTGCTGGGCCGTTGACTGGCGTTGACCATGGCATGGGCCCTCGCGGCACTGCGCAGGATCGTCTTAACCGGCGTGTGTGGGTGGTGCAACATGCGCAAGGTGGTGTTTTGCGGCGTCACCTCACAGTGGGCGCGTGGGCGGCGGCCCATAATTTGCTTGGATGGTGGCCGCTGCGCCTCAACTGTTGCGTTAACACAGGGGGAACGCTGGATAACGCGTGGATACTCTATCCATAACGCCCCTCACATTGCGGATATTTGCAGAAATGCTCAACACGGGGGGCCTTCATCCCCCGTTCTCTACGGTATGATGCGCCCAGCCCTGGTTGGGCGCAATCTGCATTCATGATGCGGGGAATGCTGTGCAAGTCCACGCGATGAGTTGTGACAAGCACCATGTAACATCAATGCAAGCCCCAAACACGGTGCCCATACTGTAACACGAGGGCACATGGTACACGCGTGTGATGGGTCAATTTGACATCTCAACAGGTCGTAACACGGCTAATGGGTCTATTTTGAGTCTTCTTATGATGGGGAGTGTTATTTTATGACCAAAACTACAATTAAATGCATAAAACAAATAAATCCTCTAGAGACCCCGGCCCCCAATAGCGCCCCTTTTTGTCATGGGGGGGGGAAGGGGCATATAGGGACCCCTACCGTATGTGAACATGGACAGCGCGAACCTCATTCACAGGGATCAATACGGGCTATGAGATTTCTGGGCATATAGACAATGGACCCCACTACAACTATGTTGAACAGCTTGACTAAGTGACTGAACAACCAGTTGGCAGGCTGATTGTTTGGTACATTGTGATTTGTCGCTTCTCTTGGACTGGGACCATGGGCAGGCATCGCCCGGCTCATGTAATCGCATAGTCGAGCACGCAATGTGTGACCTGTGCGCATTGTATCAGTGTGGCAACATCTTAATCCTGTCGCCATGCAACCACCAGCAATTCAAATCCACATGACATGGGCATCAACTTCAAAACCCAAATCCAGACATGCAGCAACCTGTCGACAATCATATGTGTTACAAGTTGTTCAGCGTGGTACAAATCGTGGTCACCGATGGTCAGAGGGTACACAGGCGTCATGTTTACAGGGACGGATCAGCAGGTCAGCTGGCAGGTGGCCCCTTGCATGCAACGCTGAATCTGAGGGCAGATCTCCTGCAGATGATGAGATTGGGGAATGGCAGCCATGGCCCCAGTGCCACAGACAGTTCTGACAGGCCGTTGTCAAACTTATGACACACACGCTCTGAGGCTGCAGATGCTGCCGCCTGCGCAGTGGCCACAAGCCCATCAGGCACATACTTGCAGAGCAAATATATTCGCACATTAAGAATATATGACAATACGTAAAAGTTGCACCACATGTAGAATTGCAGTAATCTGAGAAAAATCAAACGGCACCAAAACAAGTTTGACTCCGACACAACTTACTTTCGGCACACTGTTGGCCACAGAGAGGGCAACAAGACTGCCACTCACCTTTGCTCTCATGCCCATCGCCGCTGCTGCCTCGGCCACATACCGCACAGCAGCCAATCCCCCTGTCCCCAGGATGGGCACACAGCCCTCTGGTCGACAACTCCCCGCACCACCTGCACGAATGCCATCCCCACAATCTCCAGTGTGGCCCCCCTTGTCTAGACTTCCAAACGCACCCATCCAATCGTCGCCTTGCTTTTCCGTGTGGTTCAAACAGAATCCTGACGAATCCAACTGATCCTCGTGCCTTTTGGGGTGACAGCGAATGGCATTTTCACAAATGCTGCGAGTCTGCTCAAAGGCGTCGTCCGGGCCAGGTTCTGGAACCCGTTTGCAGCTGCCTGGTACGGCTGACGCCGCCTCCAGCAACAGGGCCAGGGGGTCGGGCGACAGCATGAAGCGGATGTCGCCGTGGCTGCGCCCATGGCTGTGATGTTGTGGATCCTGGGGCACGGGGCAGTGGCCGAAGGCAGCCATGGCGCCGGTCAGCTCCTGCGGCCAGAAGCTGCTGTCGCGGAGCTGGCACTTGGCGCCCACCTGGGGCAGGTGAGCAGGGTCGCAAGACATCACCACATGATGTTGCAAACAGTGCACAATGCAGTGCACGGCAATGCGGCAGTGGCACATACATGCGCGGCACCATGAATTGTGGCCAATTCCTTCACATTTGTTTAACAGCACCTTACACAACCCTTCCAATTTGAAGGTGATGGTTGGAGCAGCATCATCCCACAGATACGCGTTTGTTCCTTCCTTAACACTCATACACACGCCACTAGTCCCATTGCAAATGTTCCTACTTTAGAGTCGCGATATCTGTGCATATCTGCGAGCAAACACTCGAAAAAACATGGGACTAGAAGACCACATGCCGAAGACCCCAAGGGCAGCCCAAAACCAGAGAAAATTCTCTCCCTAGCTCCATTGTACATCAGCCCTAATTTGGGCTAATAATCGACAATGAGACAACGATCGCCGATCAAAATTTCGCAGCCCGCCTGCCAACCCCTGCCTCCTTAGGATGGGTGCATTGACCCTCAGACAAAGTGGCGTCGAAATCTCGAAGTGTGGCCATGGCGCTCTGGCTGGATGAGACCCCTCCCCCCCCCTCCCCCTCCTTTGAGGTTTCAAGTTGTTTCAGGAAACCAGTGGGATGCAGCCCTTTTTATGGGAGTCGTGTGCTGTTGACGCACCGCCAATTTTCATTCCTTTGAATCTGGATCTAATTTTTTGACATTTTCCCTTCAACTCACAACTACGCACGCAAAAGAGTATTGTGAATATCTGATTAGGTTTAGCACAAAATAGCAATGTGAAGTCACGGGGAACATTTGTTGCGGGACGGAAAGAGTACCACAAATTAACAAGTGCTGAGATGTTCTTGTATATTTTAACAAGGGAGCCTGGCCAGCGTGAATACACAGGATATTTTAAATCACTGCTTCAGCTCCATCATTCTCAGCAGCCAAGCCAGTTCAGGGAACCTCAAAAGGCTTCTGTGCAGCTTAAGCTGTGTTTGTCCATCAAGGCCATGTGCACCACAGGTGAAGGGGAGGCACCCATTGTGAGCCCAAAATAGAGTGTCCCTGTGGATGTTGGGGTGGGGCAGCCATTAAATGCTTCATCAGATGGGAACCTAAAAGGCAGATGGACATGAAGCTGATGCAACCATATTTGTTGTGGCAGAGGTGTGTTGTGAATAATGTTTATAGGAATGGATGTACGTTCTTGGCATTTCAATATCCTTGTGCTGGCGTGTCAACACACAGTTGACATGTGCGACAACAGCCTGTCGAGTGGCGTCATGGCACTGCTGTTGATCTCCCTGTCAGTGCAGTGGCAAACAATCAAGGTGAACACCAATCTGTGACCTCATAAGTGGCGTTGGGCTCTTCATCATCTTCCTTGCTTACCGTGATAGTACACATGAGGGCTAGTGGGTCTCAAGACTTGACAGTGTCCATGTGGACATATGCACATGGACGCATGCATATAGACATATGATCCGTGCAGGTGTGATTGTATCATTCATTGGGAAAGTCTTTTTGGTAGGGGACCATATTGGCTGGTCGAGTGTGCAGGTGCCCACCTTTAACATAAACCCCTCCACACACTGCATCACAGCCTGATTGTGCTCCTCCTCCATTTCGATCATCCTGTCCCTCACCAGCAAGGCCACATAGTAGAAGCTGTGCACCAAGTCCAGGGCGACTGCAACTGGGAGGGCAATTCGCAACACTGCCCGTATGCGCTCCAGGCCAATGTACACCCCAAACATGCTGCAAGGCAGGCACTGAAATCGGTGTTAACTCCTGTTCATTGCCACAATATAAGGGGCTATGCAACATAACCGGTGATAGGGCAGTACTTTTTCTTTGCCCTGTTCTTTTCTCAATACTCAGTTAACTACAATTGTCCTACGGCAAAGCAAGCCCTTTCACCAGATTGATGACATCTTGCATTGGCCCCAACCACTGCCTTTATTTGTGGTATTCTTGCCAAAGATCATGGGTGACAACGACTTCCACTTGAAAGGACACTACCTTGCGCCTGCAAAGTGAGAATGGGCGCACTTCACCGAGCCAAATCCCTGTTCTGCTCACAGCAGAAGGGAGGCAAGGGCAACGGCGTCAAGCTAAACCCAACGGCAGACTGCCCCGCTGTTCATCAAACTTGCACAAGGACCCATTAAACCACAAAAAATTGAGGAAATGAAGCAAATGGAATCCTTAACACACATGTCCGACACCCAGTGATGAAATGGGTTCAAGACCCTTCAAAGGAGCTTGGCAGCAGCCAGGTGCACAGGAGACGATTGGGAGATACAAGACATACTTCCTAACAATGGCATATGTCGTGTTAGGCGTGACTTGCCCATGTCACAACACTACGCGCTGGGAGACATATTAGACAATTCTGAAAAAGATTGGAACAACTCACCCCCTCAAGAGTTCACACCTGCCAAAAGATTTTCAAGCTGCGGATAATGGCAGGTGTTCAGGCTGCTGCCGCTTGAGGGAAATTTCTGGCTTCTGTTCCAAGTCGTGAAACGATTTTACCCCAAATTTACCCAGCACTGCACCATGGAGATGCCACTTGTCAGGGTGCAAGCTGTTTGACACATGTTATCATCAGTCCATCAGATTCCAAGAAACTTCGTCCCCTGCAAATTACAATATTTCTTTCCATTACCAAATCCCAAGAGTGGCATCCATCAATCCAAGTTGCCACAGCGGTTTATGTCATATGAATTCTTCAATTTCGTACAAAGTTTCAAGATGCAAAGAGAGGGCGTAGGTAATGCAAGTCCCCTGCTTAGGGAATGGGCATCAGCCACATGCAGCCAATAATGCATGATGTGTTGCCTGAAGGCCGTTGCCATCAAATGATACAGCTGCGTGTGCCTCGTTGCAGTTCCCCATGGTACGACAATGGTCCATTATACATCCTCGAAAATCTAATGTGTGGGCACATACCGGGGTCCAGTGTCTGTCCCGGACAACAGCTGTTTGAGCGGCTGAAGGTGCGCACCGCTGATAAATGCGAACATTACAAAGTTCCGAAAATGAGCAGATGGACCCCGCGAGTGGTTCGGTCGTGGCCGAGCCAGTTTGGCGTTCAATACTCTGCCGCATAGGCTGGTCCTTGGCAACTGCTGCAGAAGCCAAAGCCTGGAACGCCGCTTTTCCTCCGCACCCCACACCGGCACCTTAACACCGTCGCGGCCATTTTCGTGCCGAAAATGTTCCGATTCGGTCACAACGACGCCAAGCGCGCCTCCGCTGCGAGTGGAGCCACGCAGACCGCGCGGAATCCTGCTCTCAACGCTTTCTGCGCAGCAATTGTGGCCCGATGGTCCTCTGAACAATCCCACGCACAAATAATCAGGTCCTTTCCGCAACTTTGGCGCAAAATCTCCCACGGCCAAGGCGTCAGCGCACCAACCTGGACACGAGTTCCCCTCTGTGGTGCAGAGAGGCTCGATTGGTAGACGGTTTGCGGGCTGCCACTGAAAGCTTGCCGGGCGTTTCCGTTCCCCTGCTGCTTCGCTTCGGTGGCCTTACAGCCAGGCCCCCCCCCTGGGTCGTCCTTCCTCCTGGCGCCCCATTAGCGCAGGGACGATGCGTGCAGCCGTGGGCTTCAATGCAGTCTTGAAAAAATATCAGGCGCTGGCACACTACTGTATTTATTAGTATCGCACGGCATCATCGGTTACTGTTGTGGTCAACCCCATTGCCGGTCATAGCAGTTTACTTTACAGTGCTTGGTCAGTCATTGGGCAGGGAGGCCTGACTCAACTGTGTGCGGCAAGGAGGTGACAAGTACACACTCGGCTCACCACCTGCAAAAGGTGGTTGTCTGATATGATAGCCAGCGGGTGAAAATGCACAAAACCCCAAGCCTTCGCCTATCCCGCCTTCTGGCTTGATTAGATTTGCCTATAAGGAAACGAATATGGGGTCGTACAACTCCCTTCCAAACACGTCGCCAGCGATTCCGCCAGGGAAAACCTGGCTTCAAAGGCCTTGCAAATGCAAGTTCGTTCAAATCTCAGGCCTCAGGTGAGAAACACGCAAGAAGCCACTTCGATTCTCACAAAATCGCTTGGAAACCCATGCACTCAAGCGGCAAGAATGCAATGGGCACTATCTGTCGAAGTACGAGCGTTGGAGACCTCAAACTCTTGGCCGTGAAGCCATTCTGGTAGGGCTGCACGCCGTAGCCCGGGTCGCATACACAAAGAATGCCAATTGTAAGGGGGCGCAACCTCTTTGTGGCTGACCGAAGCTCGATCCGTACGTCCCGTTCGACTCGGGAGTCGGTCATGTAGGAGCAAGATGGATTGGGAATGGGAACAGAAGCTTTGTATTAACAAATGAGAGCCGGGCAGCTATATTTATATTTATAACTGCACGTGTGGCGGCAAAGTGGTATCCCAAGGGGCGCGGCCACAAACCCAATTCGAATGTTTGGCTTGTCCTATGTATCCGTTTGCATTCCCGTGTCAATCACCCAAACATCACTTTCTCCCCGGGCCCAATACGTTGTTCTGGCCCGCTAAGTTGATAGCTGTCCCACATCTATTTTGACCCGTTTGCACCCATGCTACCATATTTATAAACACTGTAGCCCCTGGTAGTTCTCCGCCATTCTATTAATATACATTATTGTTAAAACCGCCGTTAGTCATGAGCACCGGTATATCAAAGGCGGGCTCATGACCAACATAGGGCAGCTGACTGGGCCACTGTCAAACAGCCAGTCAGGGTGAACAAGAAAGGAAAAAAGAAGCTAGCAAAGAAAAAACAGATCTGCGTTCATGAAAAGAACAAGGGAGAGCTGATATGCAAACAACATATCAGGAAAACATCAATGGGTTGCTATGCCGTTGTGGTTTATGGTGTCTAACATACTGGCTAAACAATGTTTGTAGGAGAAAGACCAAGGAAACATGGCGAGCCACAATCCCTCAGTGGCTGCTTAGCTCTGGATGTGCTGAATGAAGATTATTGATAACACCTGGCCGAAGCTTGATGGTTCTTAAGCATGACTGCTGGGAGCTTTTCATGAAGGCGATGGACTTGTGTCATGAAAAGGCAGCGTCAGAAGCTGCGATTTGATGGACATAGTTGTTTCCATTTTTAAGCAGATCCGAGGGTGTGTGTCTGACGGCTACTTGATGTTGGGCCTGGTAACTGTAATCTACATGAAAATCTGAACAAAAAAGGATAGCCAGCTGCATGCATGAAGAGACCGCCTTAAAGCGTTCAGCCCAGGGATGTCATTTGGGCACATGGGCAAGAACTGGACAAGAAAAGTATGCATTAAGATACCTGCCGTAGATTACTAGGAACTAGGCGAACAAAAGTCAAGTTCATAGACAATGCGAGATGAACAGAATGGCTGAAGAAATGGCAGCTGAAGAGTGAATAACGAGTAGAGTTGAATGGGAAAGAAGCACAAGGCGATGTTGCTGAAGCTTATGAATGGTTCAGTCTGAAGGGTTGCAACTTGACACGATTGACTACGAAGGGGTGTAATGAAAATACTGGTCCTAACGCGAGGTGGTAAATATAGCAGCCCTAATATAAGCCTGATGTGACTGCTAAACCTGGAGTCGTATGGCCACGAAACTCAAAGGCTTGCTACTGTGATAGTCGCTGATAAAAAGAAAGAAAAGATAGGGTGTTCTTGGAAGAACCGCTGACAGTTCATGGCAGGGATTGGGTGCTAAGAAAAATAGCTAAGGAGATGACAACAATGAAGAAAAAGGTGTAAAAGGATATAGCTATACAGTGGCGAAGCGCTGGCTGAACATGATAGCATTTCACTAAGACTTTGGCAACGGTCAATATGACTCTACATAATGAACCAGGGATGCTGGGAGAAAGCGCTGAAATGGCCTGGCAACTAGGCACCCGCCATTGCTTTAAAATAGGAGGTGATTGTGATTGAGGCGACGCATAGCGCCAGGGCATGGTGCACAAGGAAACCTACTGCCTTCTGAGGTTTGTCCTGATGATAGAATGTGACCCATGGGGCAGTACAGATGCTGCCCAACGGTCAGACTGATTTCCAGCCTTGAAACGCCTGAAAGGGACTTTTAATGCAACTGAATCCCAATGCTAGTCGGTCACAGCCCTCCCCAGGCTGGACGGGAAAAGGATGAGCTTGATACATTCGCTTATACTTGCCTATTAGTAACGTAGTTTGACTGACATCCGTATTTGGATGTCGTACTGCGATGAAACGTGACAGACTTGCGTTGCGTTAACCTCCCACGTACTCAAACTCGTATTGTCAAGGGTACGGAGATAGCCCTATAAGTTGCCTATAGGCAACTAGCTAGTGCAACTGGGCCTTTTTTGATGTGTCACATGCGCTGACGGTCGAGTCAGCTGTACTGAGCAACGGGAAATGGGCCCTGTGCCCGAGAAGCCTCCGCTTGAGACCCCCACGGCCTGGGAGGCTTGCGCATGGCGCGCAAGGAAAATTCAAGCCGCGCAAATGGTACAAACTCGTTCGCGGAACCATGGCGAACGTGCTGAACGACGCGGCTTCCCTCGAGCCGGATGGGATGCTCAGAGGGGCTGGAGAGAGTGGTCCAGTTTGGATCCCGCGAGCCAATGGCCTCTCCCCCGAACGCCAAAGAGAGTTTCGAGCTGCTGTGGAGGGTCGTTCGGCGGCAGAAGCGGGGGCGGCGTTGGCAATGGCGGGCCAGCCCCTGACGCGGCAGGCACGAATGGCGAGGGCCTCGGATGGCCAGCCTCTGATGCC